CTGGCTAATCTCAGATACTCAACGGGAAATAGAAAGATAAGGATTGTTTACTAGATTACTCAATTTAAGTATGCTTTAAAAGATTGCATTGCAATGTATTTAATTCCCAATTATTTTAACTTATTTTAATTATTTTTAACTTATTTTTAATCCTATTACTAGTTTGGCCATATATATTACAATTCATTTTAATTCTTGTTATGGGCTCCGATGCTTGTTTTCCAGTGCACAGTAACTTTTGAGAGTATCGGTGTTGAATGGGCTCCAGGTGAACAACATGTTAATTGGCTTTTATGTTTCCAATTTTAGAAAGGGAGTCACTGCTGCTCTTAGACTACTAAACAAGTCTCTTCTGCTCTTTACTTTTGACTTTGTTCCTTTGGGATTGGGAGGGTGGTTTGTTAGATCATAGCTGTGCGTTTAAAATTACAGCTGTCATAAGGACTTTACATATACCAATGTATATAGCATCACTGTAAGGTAAATGGTTACTGTTCCCCTGTTTCAAATGAGGACGCTTACAGTGAGTAGTGAAGTCAGATCTGCAGTGTAGCAGTTCAACCAGCACTTGGCCCTGTGTAGCCTCTTCAAATAATCTGACTGATTCTCTCCAGCCCTAGTTCTCAAACTTTTTAAAAAGTCTTACTATTTTTTTTAAGATTTCATACATGTATACGTGCGTTCTGATTATTCTCACTACCTTCACTTTTTCTGATCCCCCATACACACCTATCAACCCACTTTTACTTGTTTTTTTTTTTCTTTTGGAATTGAGACAGGCCTTTTTACAGTGCATCCCTGGCTGACCTGGAACTCATTATATAGACCAGACTAGCCTCAGAAATCACAGAGTTCGGCCTGCCTTTGCTTCTCCATGCTGAGTTTACAGGTGTGCACCACCATGTACTCCCGTATTAAAGCTTTTAAATTATGATTATTTTTTATTTAAATTTGTGTGTGTGTGTGTGTGTGTCTGTATGTGTGTGTGTGTGTGTAGGCATTCAGAAGTTGTTTCTCTCCTTTTACCATATGAGTCCCAGGGCTTAAATTCAATTCACTGGGTTTGGTAGGTAAGGCCTTTAATAACTGAGCCATTCTACCTGCCTCGTTGTTATATTTTGATAATAATTTACCTATTATTCACAAGTAAAGTTTGGTATTCAAAACTTTTTATTCTTGAAACTGGCTTATGATTGGCATAAGATATTTTTGCTGTGACTATATTTTGAATACGTTATTTATTTAAGACCTCTCACGATGTTTAAGCTCTTGATAGATGAGAGAATAAATACCTTCTAATTATTGATAGTTCAGAAAGAATTAGATTATACAAAACAGCCTTTAGTCACGCCACCAATTAAAAAGAAAAAACTTTTCTTAAAACAGGATCTCATTTTTATATGTGTGTGTGCGTGTGTGCCTGCATGCAAACCACATGAGGGTTACACCAGAATATGATGTCAGAAGACATCAAATAATGGCTTTAGAGGCCCTATACCTAGAGTCTTGGGTGGTCGTGAGCTGCCCAGTATGTTTATGGAGCTGAGCATATATCTTTTGTAAGAACCGCAATACCAGCTACTGAGCCATTTTTCTATCAACCGCTTTTCACTGAAAAATTTTTGTAATCTTTTTGAGAAGGTTTCACGTGGCCCAGGCTGGTCTTGAGCTCACTGTGTAGCCTAGGTTAACTACGCACTCCTCTTTCTCTTATCTCAACCCTCATGGATTACTGGCATTTAATACTGTGCCTAGTTTCCTTTCACATCTTCATAATAGTTGCTAATTTACCTCACTACATTCTTAGTTTTTATTTGTTTATTCCAATACTTTGAATTTTATTTAACCTAATTTGTTTAGTTTAGCTTAGTTTAATATGTTTTTGTTTGTAAACCAAATTTGGAAGCAGCACAAACAATGAAAATTTCCTTTTTTTCTTTTAATATTTCTTTTAATATCATTAACTCTATGAAAATTGTATATATGTATACAATGTCTTTTGACCATGTTTTCCGCCTCTATTCCTCTCAACTCCTCTCAGATCCTTTCCTATCAACATCTCATCATGTGCTTCATTTATTTTTTCCATAACCCACAAAGTCCAAATTTTCTCTCATATAATTCTGTATATAAGACCAGCCACAGGAACATGGTCAACTTACCAAGAGACACACCCTTAAAGAAAACTGTCTCTCTCATCCAAAAGTCAGATACAGTAACTTCTCAGCGAGGAGTGGTACAGCTGGAATACTAACTCATAATGAATAAGGGTTTGGTTGTTGTTACAGTTTTTGCTCTTGAGACCGGGTCCTTCTCTGTAGTTTTGGCTGTCCTGTACTCACTATGTAGACTAGTCTAGCCTTGAACCCACAGGGATCCACCAGCGTTTGCCTCTAGAGTGGTAGAATTATTTGCTCATTGCTCATTCTTTCTTTTCACTTCTTCTTTGGTACCCTGGTGTTCCTCAACCCCCTCCTATCTGTATCATTGTGAGTCAGCATTTTTACATTTGACAGAGTCCATCAGAGAATAACATTTACTTTTGCTCTATTTTGCCTTTATCTAGAATTTTCTTCATGATTTGACAGGAAAATAAGTGTTATTAATTTTTTTTAAGTTTTAGATCATAATTTTCCATCAGGACTTTTCATTGTTATCTTGAAAAAAAATCCATGTTTTATTTTCTACATTGAAATAAGATAAAGGGTTGACAGAACGGCTCAGCTGTCAAAGATACTTGCTGCCAAGGTTGAAAAGCTCTAACTTCAGGAACCACCTGTTACAAAGAAAACTGATCTCTGTAGCACACACACACACACACACACACACACACACACGAACGCACAGATAAACAATAAATCTAATTTTTAAAAAATGATAACATAGTATATGTAATTAATTTCTAGGTTATAATTCATAGCCTGTTTTCTTTTTGATTCTTTTTCAAGGCCAGGAAACAGGCTTCTCAAGTGTTTACAGCAGAGAAGATTTGTGACTGAAACATTTCAGTGATTTTGCACTTATCTGATTGTCTGATATTGAACTCAGATATGGTTGAAGAATTTGATTTCACCTAAGTCCTTGGTATAACACTTAAGATATAAGTGCATATTAAGTTATACTTCTTAGTACTTTATTATCTGTAATTAGTTGAATAAAACAACTTGTTTGCATTGTTGATTTTGATTTATTGTCCATGTCTTAAAAACTTGTTTTATAGCTTACAAGCTAATGCATTGGGCAATAACTTTTATGATTTATTCTTCATACTTAACATCTATTAATACATTTAACTTTAAAACAGTTGTTTAAAACAAGCATTATTATTAATCCCATGAACCCAAATGTCTGAGAAATTAGTGCTTAGCCCAAGAATATTACATGATGGAACTCACTGCAGTTCACTGTATTTTCCACTGTTGTGTCAATCAGGCCTTTGTGCTGGGACAAACACTCAAACCCATTCAAAGGAGGAAGATTTCTTTTGCTTCAAGGTTTCAGTGTTGGGTGGCTTACTCTGTGGTGAGACAGAACACTATGACTGTAGTCTGCTGTGGTGCTAGAGCAGAGCCACTGACGCACTGTGGCCAGAAAGCAGAGTTGAGGCAGGAAGAGGCCAGGAACAAGCTATACCCTTTGTGACATACATCTCCAATGGGGATACCAGATAATCCAACAAATGACTGATCCACTGATTATGTAGGAGTCCTTCTGGTCCAATCAACTCAATAACTGGATCTACCAGATGAACCAAAAATTTGAACTAATGAGGTGGTGTTTTAGGGGGTAAATTTCGGGGGAGGGGGAGCGATCTTCTGTTATCATAAAACGAGTACCTTCTCCATGTGTACAAGCTTCAAAACCAATGATTTTCCTGTTAAATATTTCCACTAACCCTTCATCTCTGATAAAAAGCCTGTGGAAAGTGACCTGTAGAAGAAATGCTAGATTCTGCTCAGAAAACTCTTGTATGTGTGTGTACATGAGAATCTTATTATTTTTCCAATAAACAAAAGAATTGTTGAAAGACTTAGACATTCACAAAAACTGCAAATAACTTAGAAAAAGTCTTAGAATCAAATTAATTATAGGCTACACGATGGTGTCAATTATTAAAGCAGAAACAATCAAGTTAGAATTGTAGGATGCTCAAATTTCAGATTACAAAGAGAACACATCTGTTTGACGAAGAACAGAAGTCCCCAAAGGGAAGAAAACTGACCATTTAAAAGGGTGCTTATTTAAAAGACAAAACAAAACCCTGTGTGAAATTTTCTAACATGAATTTCAGTCATCCAGTCTCCCAATGAGTTGTCCTATTGTAATCTATATTTAACGGTGAATCCACATGCTCTAACCTTTACATGTGTGTTTGTGTGACCTAGCTTAATACTCTTTCTTGCTTGTTTGTAAAATTCAGCCTGTAGAAAGCCAGTGAAGTCCTTAGTAAATGTATATTGTTGATGAGGTCACGGTCATATCAAGGACCAATGCTTCAGTCTCATAGAAATGGCAAAAACTTTCTTGGCATAGCTCAGAGGGGCATCTAAGCCTGTCTTGGGGTTTGGGTGTAAATATTTGCAGTGAGGACAGAACATATACCCTGTAGCTTTCTAGATGCCCCTCTACCACACCTCATATGTATGGTCTGAAGCCTGACACACTACAGAGATTTCTATACCTACCAAGATTAGTCAAGCCTGCCTCTTTGTTCAGATGTATATAATAATACTGTCTCCTGCTCTGTCTGTATTCAAAATCTCTACCTCCCTGCTCAAGCATGTACAATAAAGCCACTGAGATTCTGGGTTGCTGAGGTTTCTCCATCAGAGAACCCAGTTTCCTTGATTACAATTTTTCTGTGTTTCTGTGTGTTTGTCTTTTCTTTGTTCCATCAACCCTGTCATTTCAATCCCTGGAGCCCTGGTACCAGCCTTCTTACACTATCCAGTCTCTGCTTGCCTCTGCAGGTTCGACAATCACCCCTCTCCCCAACATACCTTTCACTGGAAGTTGTATTCTCCTTAAAATCCCTTCCAAAATGCTGCCTCTACTGCTGGGCACCCTTCTGATGGAGGATGTCCTTCTGTATATGTGTTGCTTTTATTGGTTAATGAATAATGAATCTGTTTTTGGCCTGTGGTAGGGCAGAATAGAGCTAGGCAGGGAAAAGTAAACAGAATGCTGGGAGAAAGAAGGCGGAGTCAAGTAGACAGCATGTAGCCTCAGAACCTTGCCAGTAAGACACAGTCATGTGGCAATACATTAAAGGTGTCTTGTCTTCAAAATTTGGTTCTAAGGGTATGCTGCTTTAGGGAAAGTTCTTCTTCTGTTTCCACAGAGAATGTGAACCTATGGATTCCTTCCAGGAAAATTTAGTTTGATGGACCAAGAACCCTGAAAGGTAGCCATGTACATGCCCCAAAATACTTTTCCAAACAAAGGCATGAAGCAGTTTGGAGAAACCTACACCCCAATTCCCAAATATTGTTTATAAATATTTGTTTACATTTAAAGAAGAATATGTTATAGCTATGAATATTTTTCATTTGTATGGTTCTTAGTTTATTGATACAAAATTAAGGTCAATTTTGTTATACTGTGTATATGTATTTCTGCTCTTGATTAAGGTATTGTATTTATGCAGCCCATTTAAAAATGTAATGTATAAGTAAGAAATAAAGGTTAATATATAGTCATCTATCATACTCAATGTTGTAGTGATGTTAGTTAGGTTTTCTTGATATACAGAGATATATTTCAGGTAGGTAGCTTTTATTTAAATCTTTCAAGGACTGACAAAATATGGCATTTAAACATTTTAGAAATTTAGGACTTTTTATGACAGTGAGACACATCTGCTGCTGGCAGCACCAAGTTACTTCAAGAGGATGACAGACACCAAAGAGGCTCCTTATGTTGTATGAACTGGACATACATGACCCCCAAGAAATGATTGCTGAACTGAGTAAAGGTGAGACAATCCTTCGGTTTTCCTGTTTTATGAAAGAGTCTGCTAGAAATTCTGCAGGACACAGAAAAAGGTGGCTGAAAAACTGCCAATATGAGGGGAGCTGTTTTGAAATTTCCTGCTTCATGAAAACCTATGCAAGATACAATGGGCCATTAGGCTGAAGATGGGTGCCCGCAATGTTACAAAAGAACTTTGGGTGACTGTCCAAGCAGTGAGATATCTCTGTCAATTCTAAAGTTCTGGAAGTTGCTTACAATGCACTTTCTGGTTTCCTAGTAATATTATATCCTTCTGGAGTCTTCGATGGAGTTGGAGAATAGATAGTTATAGTTTTCCTTAGTTATATCAAAGAAAAAGTAAATAAATATATAGTAACTGTAATTCTTGCTTGATACCTGCTCTGTTATATGTAATTTTACTATGTTAAAGTAAAAATCTTCCTTTTTATTTAGGCAGAAAAGGGGAAATGATGTAGGAAGTCCATCTGTCTATATGTTGCTTTTATTGATTAATGAATAAAAAATCTCTTTTGGCCCTGTTATAGGGCAGAATAGAGCTAGGTGGAGAAAACTAATAATGCTGAGAGACAGAAGGCAGAGTCAAGTAGATAAGTGTAGCCGCTCCAGAGACAGAGGGCAGTGGGAACTTTATCCGGTAAGCCACAGGCATATGGTGATTCCAACATAGTAGTCTATGCAGTGACTCATAAGTACTTTAGATCTGTTCAAGTATTAAGTAGACACCTTCTGATTTACCACACTGTTACTTAAAATTATAGACCAGTGATCATCAATCTCCCACTCTATGACAAGGGAGGTGTAAAAGTGTAAATTGCTGATCAGTTTCTAAAAGTAACCCAATTGTCATAATTTCATGAAGATTTATGTTTATTGAGGGTGTGTGTGCACTTGTGTGTAGCCTCTGAAAGATAGAAGAGGTAGCAATCCTGACAGAACTGGAGTTAGCAGGTAGTTGTTTAACTGCCCAGTGTGAGTTCTGGGAACTGAACCTAGGTCCTCTGCAAGAGCAACAAGTTGAAGTACTCTTAACCACTGAGCCACCTCTCCAGTCCCTAGTTATCAATGTTTTAAATTCCATATCCCTTGACACTCAAAATCTAGACATTCAATCCCAGTGCTTGGGAGGCAGAAGCAGACAGATTTTTGTGAGTTTGAGGTCAACCTCATCTACAGAGTGAGTTGCAAGACAACCAGAGATACATAGTGAAACATTGTTGGAGAGATCTTTACTTAAGAGTAACTCTTAAGATTTACTTAAGAGTTAGTTACCTGAGTTGTAGCTATTAAAAGAGTGATGTGCTCATATGAGCTAGAAAATCTTCTGGGCAACTTCTTTTACAGCAGCCCTTTATATGCAATCTCAATTTGATATATTTTTTTCAAATTTGTTATTTTCAGGACATGGTCTCCCTATGTAGCCCTTGCTGCCCTGGACCTCACTTAGTTAACCAGGGTGGCCTTGGATTTAAAGAGATCCTACTTCCTCTGCCTCCCAAGTGCTGGGATTAAATGTGTGTTTCAGCATACCCAGCTTTAAAACATTTTTAAAGATTATCTGTATGTGTGTTAGCACATGTGACTCATGCACACAAACAATTGCTGTGGAGAGCAGGAAAGGACATTGGGGCTAGACCTTGAGCCACCTGACTTGGGTGTTGAGAACTGTCCTCAGCAAGAGCAAAATATTTATTAACCACTGAGCCACCTGTAACCCCCACCCTCACTTGATAACTTTAAAGGAATGCTATTTTATATCATCATTTTCAACATTCACATATATGTATTTTCAAAATATATGTATGTGTATGAAATGAGTCCCTGTAAAATATGTGTGTGTCTGTTAGTGCCACATCAGACTGGGATAATTTCATGTTAGTCATCGTTGTCATTGTCTTCATCATCAGTTTCTTCATTCTCCTCAGCTGAAAGTACAATGGCCTCTTGTGTGGCCCTGGAAGCCTGTTCCTCACCCACACTGGGATCTTCCGTTTCTGTACTGGGGTATTCTTGGTCGACCGGTGGCAGGCCTTGGGGTGTGTAATTTTTCACACTATATTCTTATCCCAGCCTACGTAGATGCTTTCAAACTTTCTGTGAATGAAAAGGAAAGAAAGTCACATCTCTTAAGAAATGTTGACCCCTTTATACTAATGAGGTCTTGTTACTATATCTTGGAACCATGTTTTTTTTTTAATGCCAGAGTGAAATAGTTCCCAATAATTTCTCAACTAATGGAAATTATTGTTTACTAAACTGCTAAGTCAGTTATGAAAACCAGAGCCGGGGGATGGAGAAATAGCTCAGAGGTTAAGAGCATTGGCTGTTCTTTCAGAGGACCTGGGTTCAATTCCCAACATGGCCGCTCACAACTATCTTTGACTCAGTTCCAGTGGATCTGACACACTCACACCAAGGTGCATAAATTAAATTTTTAAAAAAAGCAGGCCATATACTGTAAAAAAAAATGCACTCTATATCTATACCTTCTTCAAGAAAGGGCATTCCTCAGTTATTCAATTACTTATTTTTTTTTTACAGAGATTTTCTACAAAATTTGAAAGTTGCAAGCCTTGACTGGATGAAGAATGAGGTGTAGCTAAAAACTGATTTGTTACTTTTTTTTCAGGCTAGATCTTAGGAAATTTCAGAGGCTTTCCCTTATTGGCCTCACCCCACTTAGGACATAATGCATAACCTATCAACACCCCCGCCTTTGTTAGCGGGAGTTTCAGTCAAGAACTCTTCCCCCAAGCCTGGTCATGCATCCCTAACTCAAGAGCCTTCATCTGCCCCAAGGCTGGTCATGCATCTCTAACTCAAGAGCCTTCATTTGCCCCAAGACTGGTCATGCATCCCTAACTTATGAGCCTTCATCTGCCCTAAGGCTGTTCAAGCATTCCTAACTCAAGAACCTCAAGAACTCTGCCCCCAAGGCTGGTCATGCATCCCTAACTCAAGAGCCTTTATCTGCCCCCAAGGATGGTCATACATTCCTAACTCAAGAGTTTTACTCTGACCCCAAGGCTGGTCATGCATTCCTAACTCAGGAGTCTTCATCTGCTTCTAAGCCTGGTCATGCATTCCTAACTCAGGAGCCTTCATCTGACCCCAAGGTTGGTCATGCATTCCTAACTCAGGAGCCTTCATCTGCTTCTAAGCCTGGTCATGCATTCCTAACTCAGGAGCCTTCATCTGACCCCAAGCCTGGTCATGCATTCCTAACTCAAGAGCCTTCATCTGCTTCCAAGGCTGGAAATGCATTTCTAACTTAAGAGCCTTCATCTGCCCCAAGGCTGGTCAAGCATTCCTAACTCAAGAGTCTTCTTGGTGTTCTGTCTCTGGCTAGACGGCCCATCCAAACACATTATCCCATCTCCACCTTCATAAAACTTCCTCAGTCTTTATTCCTGGGGGTCCTTTTCAAAGAGATGACCTCATGATGCCCACATATCAATGACACACATTTCTGTAAATGCATTTTATCCTTGGAAGAGAATAATGACGGAAAAAGTCAAAACTTTCCCTTCCTCATGCTATCATGGTAAATAATTAGAAGCTTGGCTTTTACTTGTTTTTTTTCAATATACTACTTTATTAATTATTTGGGAATTTCACATTATGCACCCTGATCACACTCAGTTCTTAGTCCTTCTGGGTCTTCCCCCTAACCCTTGTAACCCCCCCAGAAAAGAAAAAATAAAAGCCAAATGTCCAATTTATGTTGCCCATATACTATCTGGAGCTTAGTCAAACTCGCAGTGACCATTGTTTTTCACTTTTGACTTAACTGTGATTTCTAAATTTTTTCTTTTCTTTTCTTTTATTATTTTTTATTTATTAAAAATTTCTGCCTCCTCCCATCCCCCCATTTCCCTCCCACTGCCCACACTCCTCCTCCCTCTCCAGTTCTAAGAGAAGTTAGGGTGCCCTGCCCTGTGGGAAGTCCAAGGCCCTCCCCCCTCCATCCAGGTCAAGGAAGGTGTGCATCCAAACAGACTAGGCTCACAAAAACCCAGTACATGCAGTAGAATCAAAACCCGGTGTCATTATCATTGGCTGTTCAGCCTGCCCTCATTGTGAGCCACATGCAGAGAGTCTGGTTTGAACACATGCT